CGCACCGAAGGGAGACATCCTCAATACTCCCTGGCTGGCACCCCCTGGATAAATCCGATACATCTAGTCGTGACAGGAAGGATACATGCAAGCAAAAGAGTCAAACCATGCAAACAAAACGAGTCAAATTAGGGGAATGAAAAATTCAAATCAGCGGAATGCAAAATTTCAATACAAAATTTTCGCGCAAGCAAACGCGACCAAAATTCCCACAATAAAGGACCAAAAGCAGACAAATGAGTCGTGACACGGAAGGATACATGGAAGGAAGAATGTAAAATAAACATCAATGTTTGACGCCGGAAAGAATAATTACCCATTCGGCCCAATGGTATAGCCACGGCTACTTTTCGTGTCGGTGTTTGTGGTAGGTTTTGGTTTTGCTAGCGCTATCTAGCTTCTCCGTCGAGAGATTGACAAGAGAAAGGACGAAAACTGTAGTAGGTCCAACTACACAAAGACCATTGTCCGACAGACAACCATCACAGAGACGTTCAAACCGGGACATTTCATGATGGTTGCCAACCACAAATCTTACAGAGGAGGTTTGTGCCAGGATGGACTACCGGACACTTCTAGCCGCAAAAGAGAAGGAAGAGGCAACTCTTGAAGGGATGGTGACTGAAATGGCCCAAGTAGAGAAGAACTTGCTGGCTGCCCAAGCCTAGCGCGCCTAGCGGATGTCAACAAGATGGGCAAGGGCCAGGCCAAGGCAAAAAGACATTAAGTCCAAGTCAAAAACTAAAACTGCACAACCAGTCACCCAAACAAACGCAGACTTCACTCAATGCTACTACCACCACCGGGGCCCCACCAAAAAGGAAAACAGCCACAATCCACAGAGAACAGTCACCACCGTGCAAAAGCGACAGCCACAAACCACAGAGAAACAGCCAGTCAAAGAGCAACAGTGGATGTCGCACCCCCCAATTACCTCGGCCATCAATTGTTGAATACATTTGACCACCTTAATCTTGAGGCATGTGAGGGTAAAGTTACTCTGCCGATAGTGGGCTAAACCGTTTTTGAAGAAGTGGAAGACTCTGTGCACAACGTTTCATGGTGGAAGGAGACTTCTACGCGGCGGCGCTGAAAGCGTTGGTTTCAGGTCCTCCTTGACTGAGATTTTTGTGAGTACACAGCCGGGATCGGCATATCCCAGAGTTTAGGCTTCATCTCTTTCTTCGCACCGAAGGGAGACATCCTCAATACTCCCTGGCTGGCACCCCCTGGATACATCCGATACATCTAGTCGTGACATGGAAGGATACATGCAAGCAAAATGAGTCAAACCATGCAAACAAAACGAGTCAAATTAGGGGAATGCAAAAATTCAAATCAGCGGAATGCAAAATTTCAATACAAAATTTTCGCGCAAGCAAACGCGCCAAAATTCCCACAATAAAGGACCAAAAGCAGACAAATGAGTCGTGACACGGAAGGATACATGGAAGGAAGAATGTAAAATAAAACATCAATGTTTGACGCCGGAAAGAATAACTTACCCATTCGGCCCAATGGTATAGCCACGGCTACTGGTATCGTGTCGGTGTTTGTGGTAGGTTCGGCGGTAGGTTTTGGTTTTGCGCTAGCGGTAGGTTTTGCTTTCGCGGTCGTGGTATTGATGGTCATGTCGCCAATGGCCGCCTCTACACTGTCAACAGCGGTTGCTTCAACATCATTGTCGGCACTGACTTTCATGTCGGTAGGAGAAGCTATGTCGGTAGGAGAAGGAGCGGTGTTGGTAGGAGGAGCTTTCATGCTGGTGTCTCCTTCTCCTTCCTCGGTGGTGGTCGTGTCTTTCGTGTTGGTGTTGTTGTCTCCTTTGGTTTTCGTACCTTTCGTGTCTTTCGTGTCTTTCGTACCTTTCGTGTCTTTCGTGTTCGTGCTGTTGTCTCCTTTCGTGTCTTTCGTGTTCGTGCTGTTGTCTCCTTTCGTAGTACCTTTCGTGTCTCTCGTGTCCTTTGTGTCCTTCGTACCCTCGCTGTTGTCTCCTTCGGTTGTGTTACCCCCACTGTTGTCTCCTTCGGTTGTGTTCGTGTCTTTCTTCTTCGTAGTGGTTGGAGTGGTAGCAGGAGCCTTCGTGTCTTTCATAGTTGTAGGAGGGGTAACTTCGGTGGTGTCCTTGTTGATAGTGGTTCCTTCGATGGTGTCCTCAACGCCTGCCGTGGTCATGGTAGCTTTGCCAGATTTGTCGGAACTGGTGTCGTTGGAAATGGACTTGGCCTTGCCTTTGTCGCCAGAGCTGACTTTGGACTCTTTCGCCACCACCAGCTTTCCCAACTCCTCCAATGTCAGTTGTCCCCATGCTTGCCTCTTGGCAGTTATACCAGCTTTGACCTTGAACTCGACCCTTCTCTTGAATTCAGCGTCGGTTTGGCAACACGCTAGCTCCCTCATGACAAACTCTGCCACAAGCGGCCTGTCATCACTTACATGGGAAGTCGGGGATGCAAAAAGGAGCTTGTAGAGAAAATTGCGTCCCTTATTGAAGTGATGCGCCAAGAACTTGTCGTAGTCAGGGCACCCAGGAAGCGTCACACACATGCCGCGCTGTTTGAAGATCTCATTGCAGCGCCTGGCGGCTCGATCATAGGACTCGAGGTAGACCATGCAGTATGCATCATACACGAAGACATCTTGGTGGCGTTGCATACCGGGGACTCTCGGTAGCTTCCAACCGTGTTGGACAAGTGCGTCCACTGGTGTCATGGACCTGAAGTCCCCATGCTTGTCCTTCCCTTTTTTCTGCCCCCATATGAAATCGAAAATGTCGAAGTTGCCAACCTGGGCCATAACTATGAGCGGTGCAATCCATCTCTGGAAGGGGGTCCTATTCATTGGGATCAAGGCGAGCATAGACACCAACAGCAAGGTTTCATTTTCTGGTACCATAGACCATTTCTTCAACTTTGCCTCTGCCTCTGCTTGCCACATAGTTTTTTTCTGTTGTTCCTCTATCTCCAGGCGGGCCTTTTCCCGCTGCCGTAAAATCTTCTTCTGTTCCTGGGAGGGGAACAATAAGCCCTGTCCGTTCAGTTGCCTCCTGGACTCTAGGAGTTGGACCCTCATCGCGTTTCCACCACCCCTGGCAGGATTCCTCCTCGTCGTCCTAGTACTGTTCCTTTCGGTAGTGTCCTTTTTGGTGTTGGTGCTACGGACCCTTCTCTGGGGCCTACGGGGATCCCAATCAGAGTCATCCGTCTCTTCCGCGTCATCGTCTTCATCGTCTTCATCCGTGTCATCGTCTTCATTGCTTTCATTCCGGGCCAACCAGCCAGTTTCATTTTCTGTTTCTGATTCTGGCACAGCTCCTGGTATTGGTACTGCTACAAGAACCTTATTGGTCTCATCTCCTCCGGTCTCGTCTCCTCCTGGCATTACCTTGGTCTCGTCTCCTCCTGGCATTGTCTTGGCCTCGACCACGTCTCTCACCTTGGTCGTGGACCCATCGTCCATTTGGGATTTATCGAACCCATTGGACCTCCTACTCATGTTGCTATCCTTCGTTCTGTATTAATATGTTGCTATGACTGTTCTATGACTGTACGGGTCAAAAGCAACCTTCCACAGTATCAACTCACTCAGAACACCACGTACTCTTTATCTTCCCACGCCTAATTTCCATCTAGCCTTCCATGTATTCTTGCATGTCACGATTGACTGCTAGTTACCCTCTCGAACGGTCATAAAGAGAGAGCCAGCCGAACAGATCGTACCCTATCGTACCCTAAAGAGAGCCAGCCGAACAGATCGTACCGTTCGGCTCGCTCTCATCGCAGCCATGCACACAATCTAGCTCCTTCCATGTATTCTTCCATGTCACGACTGACTGCTAGATAGAGTTTAGGTTTCCTTCCATGTATTCTTCCATGTCACGACTGACTTCGATTAGCTAAATACTAGAGTAAATAGAGTTTAGGTTTCTTTGAATTATTAGATTTTGGGATCCAGCGAATGGACCTGGCGCCAGCCGAACGGCGGTATCTGTTCGGCCCGCTTGCACCCTCGGATTTAAGATTTTTACCCTTTTTTGATTTTCACCTGTCCCAATAGAGTTTTGGGTTTCTCTCCTGCGTGGTCACGGAATGGAGCACCAGCCGAACGGACCGGAGCGTTCGGCCGGCTCTCCATTGTGTTCTCTTTCAAATTTTAAATATGGTGGGAGCCAAATCCATTCTTCGTGTTAGCTCTCATTAATAAGTGCAGTACAATGAGACGATGTTGGCAGCAATGAGACGATGTTGCGGTATGGTGGCGGCGGTAAGTAATGTGTCTGTGTCCTTATAGCTAACAACTGCATCCACAATTTCAGCTCCAAGCGAACTGGAATCACTCTTTGTGTAAGAACACTGACGATACGTTTTAGTACTCTTTATTCTATAGTAAATTTGCTGTTTCTTAGCCAACCAAACAACGAAAGAGCCACCATGGCGCCTTGTGGCCCTCTTCGAAAGCGAACGGCAGCCTCTACCAGTAAAGCAACCTCAGCAATGAGATCTATTATCATGGGTGGAGGACGGCAGCAACTGGTTCTGACGAAATCCGACGCAAAACCATCGAAATCCAAGATGAAGACCATCCAAATCGATCAGTCATTGCTCGAAAACGGCACCAAAAATAACTATCTCGATGCACAACAAGATGGCTTTCAACTCATTTATCCAAACCAAAAGACACTACCGCAAAGCAAGGCAAACATCGAGATGACAACAACAGTCAAGAACAAGCTGGACTGCAATCCTTTCTCGATTTTAGCACAACAAGACGATTTGTGGCTACTACAATACCAAAATGACAATGATTCTGACGACGCTTCGGTCAGTACGCTAGCTACAACTGGAAGTGATTCGATTGTAGGAGGCTCCCTTTCCAGTACTCCGTCACGCAACAACGCTAGAAATCCAGCCAGTAACAACACCACAAGGAAAAAGACATCCAATCGCCGAAACTCAAATATTGATCTGCAACCACTCCCATTGCCACCGGTTCTCGTCAAAACAACCCCTACGCCGGTAACATGGGAGACATCGAGTCGCAAACAACGGAGGCAAAGCAAGAAGGCATCCCAACAGCAGAAGTCACCAAAGTCGAAAGTTCAGCGACGCAATGATGCAAGGAAAATCCTAGTGAATCCGACGGATAATGACACCTGGCCACAGCTTCGGTCAACCCCACGAACATCAACCACTGGCAAATCAACGAAATCACGGGTGATCGATTCCAGTCGACCTGGAATGTAACAAAATACCGAGACAACACACTCTTGGCCAAGTCCATCCACGGCCCCATGATGCCCAAAGCCTCTAATTACCATGACCAATACGCACGACAGCAACAGCCTCAGTCGAGAGCAACGCACTGACGATACGAACAACAAACTAGTCATGGCTCTGTCAACCAACAAGAAGAAATCCAAGTTTCGCCTGAAGAAATCAATCCAGCAATTTCTAACCAATCGACACAATGATACTTGTCATGCTGACTCTGCAGATGATTCCATCGATTCAATCCCTGTATCGACGAACATCGACTCAACAACGCATACCTCCATGTCATTTATTCCCTTCGCCGGAACTGCTGAGGACCCTGTCGACTTGATCACTCCCATTAAGACAATCACGAACATACCAGAATTGATCCCAACGACAATGCCCTTGTGGTGTCTCCAGTGTAATGAGCCGGCTCTTCCTGTGGAAATCATTGACTCCAAACATACTAGGCCCCTGCAGACAGATTGCTCCCATCAAACACACTACTGTGAATCCTGTCGACAGTTCATACCGCTCGAGGGACCTACGGCTCTGGATACCAGCTCACCTTCACCGCTGACAATGCTCTTATCTCAGACTGGAACTGAAGCGAATGCCGCCATTATTTATCCAACAGATGATGAAATAAAAACAGGAATTCAGCATCTTCAAGCTACAGCACGTAAACAGGAAATGATCGACTCACTTCCTGTCAAGCAAATGGCCCCTCTCTTTGACACTGTTGCTACCAATGACATTCAGCTTCAATCCCACAACTTCTTGCAGGCAATCGCAATCAATTCCAGTGGTGAAGATACCGACAGCCAAATCACCACCCAGCCGCTAGATGCCCCTCAGCCAGCAGAACAACCAGATCCGAAATCATTCAGTCACAGCTCTCAGCGCTGCTTCTGTCAACAACTATCCATCTCTCGACCTCAAGACCCATTGTGTTTCCTCTGCAAGTGGAAGGCAGATCCAGACAAGATACTCACTTATCTGGAAACAGAACTGGCACTCCTTGTTCCCACCAACCCAGCAAATGCCACTGCTTATGTCTGTGTTAAGAACTCCCTTCTTTAGTTACAGAGAACTCACTGTCCATTGCCTAGAGAGATTCACCAGAGAGCAAAGTCCTTGAGTCTACTGGAACCAGCTCCTGAAACTGATGTTCACCCAATTCCATGCATTGCCACCATGACCATTCAGGAGTCCAAGCAAGATGCCGCTGCTGCTTCACTTGGTGTGGCCAATCCCATGGCTCTGGATGCAGATGAGAGCGCCAATGAATCCAACAACAATGGCAATCAGGACGGCGACAATGGAGACACTATGAGGGATGACGACGAGGAAAGCTTTGAGGATGCCAATGATGGTGCAAGGAGCCACAAGACACACTACTTTGGTGTTCGTATTGAGGCAATGAATCCAGCAACCTCAGCAATGCCTATTCCCCTGGTCATGCAGCTGTTGACACTATTGTGTTCTGATGACAGGTACTCCATCACCTTCAAAGATCATGAAGGGATAGGAGACTTTGAGGGCAATGGCATTGACTTGGACTCCCTAGGAA